AGGCATTTAAGTAATTTTAATTTCTAGAAAGTGTTTCCATTTTTATGAACTGTAATTCTGTGGTAAAATCCTTCATATCTTTTTTTTTTTTTTTTTAAGAGGTTTTTGCTATAGGGCTCATGCTCTCGCCAGACAGACAGAGAGACAGAAAGCGAGATATCATCCCCCAGGGGAGATGGCCACGCACGCCACAATCCCTTCTCCTCCATTCTCCTCTCGGGATCTTGGGCACACATGCACACGTTCCCGGCGTGAGTTTTAAGCCACCAGGTCCGGGACGTGAACCACGGTCGACTACGTGGGAGTCCAGCGACATAGCCGTTACGCTAACTGCTGGTCCCATATCTTTGGAAGATTTAAGTTAGTTCCACTTTTTAGTAATTATAAACAATGATGATATGAATAATCTCTTCCATAAATGTATTTGTCCAAACATTTCCTTAGAATAAAAAAGCAAGAAATAGGTCTGCAAATTTTAGAAGTTAAGGAGAGTTTTAGGCATATGATTAAAAAAATAGATGACATTCCACAGTGGCAATGGAACGTCTGCAGTTTATGCAGAGTGCCCTTTCCCCAGGAGTGAGGAGATGCCTCCAACATTTCATTGGCAGTGCAACTAGCTGTATCCGTGGCTGTCACATTAATGAGTTACATATAGTGGAGTATGACAAAGCATAATCAGAGTGGTTACAAAGTACTCACATCCTTCTTGAAGGTAGCTTTTAGACTGAAGAGCCTGGAACTCGTAGTATGGTATCTCATGTTTGAATGTGAATGCAAGAATGCTATCAAGTTCTTCGATGCCATTCTGTTTTCAAATAAAAAGAAATTTTTAAATTTGTCCGATTATTTACATAGAAACTCTTTTTAGTGCAATTTAACTAAAATGTATTAGCTAGAATAAATACTGAGTACTCTAGTAAGGCTGGTAACTTCTTTGAAGGAGAAATGCAAAACATTGGAGGCTTGCTAAAAACCAATTAAGATAATAGAAAAACAGGTACAAGAAGTCAGTCTTCTCTTTTGGATGAGTAACCATAACTTCACTTAAATACTAATTTTAAAAGAGCAATACAAGGGGTTGATAAAAACACCAGCATTTGTCTCAATGATAAATTCCAGTGAAATACATGTTGCATAAAGAAAATAATAAAATGCTAAGTCTAGTTCTGCAGCTTAAGGGTCAGAAGTGGGGTGGTCTTAAATAGATATTATTTCTGTGTCTAAGGGAGGGCCAATATTTATCTCAGCCTTTTTTCTCCTTCTGCAGATATAACTATCTTGCTACTCTACTTCCCTATCTGAGCATTTCTGGAGTTGCCATGCATCAAATATGCTACTGCTGACATGGAAGCATTCCATGCTGATCACTACCCTGTTACAAAGACCAGCATTCTTTAAAAACTGGGTTATGTCAAGGCTATGCCTGGGACCAGGTTGTTCAAAACAGGCAGGATTACAGCTGAGGAGGTGGGGCGATCCTCGGAGGCCTGGGGGGAGGAGGGGATTATGGAACAACACTTCCTAATTAAGATTTTTTAAATAATTTCCAAATAAGGTCAGATATACCAGTATGTAGTTACCAGATAAATTACTGAAATGAAAGAACATTTTTGGGGGGCTAGCAGATGACATGGTGGTTAAAGGCACTGGATTCCCATACGGCCGACTATAGTTTGAGTCCTGGACCTGGCGGCTTGTTTTCTCACTTTCCTTTCTCTCTGGTGAAATTTTAAAATAATAATAACAAAAGGAATTAATTAACTAAATATTTTTATAAAAGAACATTTTTGTTACTTTATTTCTTTAGTTTTCAGAATTCTGGGTGCAAATAATGGAGTGGTTCAGGCTTCCCTGAAATTTCTGAAAGTCCTGCCAAGAAATATTGAGAAGGGGCACAAATATTCTCTTCCCAGCCTGTAGCTAGGTAATGCGGAGCGAAAGCCAACACTCACCCTCTACTAAACATTAGGAACTATGTGAAGCCCTTAGCTCTGGAGCATTAAAACAAAAAAGAAAAAAAAAAGGAAAGCGGTGACAACACACACAACTTGTAAAGCTTCAGTCCTGCAAGGAGCCACCCTGTGTCCTGTGATAAACAGTCAGATGGGCTAGGGACAGTGTGGGCAAGAGAGACGCTTCATTTCCACAAAGGAAGAGCAAGCCAGGGAAGGCTTCAGGGAGGAGATGGCCTGAGTCAAGAGTGCCATGCATATGGGGGCATTTTAGAGTAAAATAACAAGCTGCATAAAGAGAGGTCATGGAGCATCTAGTGGTTAAGGACTCTAGGTGCTTCCAGCAGACAGAGAAGATGAGTCGTAAGGAGAACGCGGACTTTGCAAGAAGCGCCATAAGCCAGATGAGGAGTCCGTAAGCAATGAGTGTTAGGATTATAACGGTTCATGTAGAAACCGTTACTGTACAGGTTAAATTAAACTTATTTAGTTCATGAGATTGCTTTTGTGGTTGACTATTGATATTGAGGAGCCTACTCTATAAACGAAGATGTGACAATTTGAAAAAAGTTTTAATTTTTATTCATATTAGAGAGCCCCTGAGTGTGCAGGAGAGAGAAAAAGAGAGAGAGAGTGAAAGGAAGCACCCCAGAAAGGGCCTGGTCATGCCACCTGCCGGCTCCACTTTTCTATTTTTTTTTCCCCAGAAAGGGCCTGGTCATGCCACACCTCTTTCCCCTCCAGTTTCCTATACCCTCAAAATCCTGGACACCCATGGGTAAGTCCAGTGTGAAGCTGACGGGGCTGGGATTCGAGCCCCAGTCAGCCATGTGAAATCCACCTTCCGTCTGCCCAGCACAGCACCGACCATCATGCCACTGGGCCAGCCTGAGCTGGGGTAAGTTTAGACGCTATAAGTAATTATGATTTTGATCTTTTCAGGAAGTCTCTGATTGGAGCGGGAGGGTCAAACATTACTGGCAATATGTATGCATTCTATACTACTGCTCAAAAAGGGCATGTTTTAGTTAAATATAAGCTGATGAAAAACATGCACATCAGAGCATTAGTTTATAAATCTCAAATATTGCATCAATAGCCAGACAGCTCAGCATAGCCCGTCATTCAGTCATTGGTCTTTCCACGTGAGGAGATACATCTATCATTTCTTCTCAAAAGTGTACAAGAGTTAGTGGGCAAAGATTCGTGTGGCACAGTTGGCACACACATGTGGAAGTTAGACATGAAGTAAGCTCTGGGAGTCCTTCCAGATCTGAGATTCTGAGACACAGGCAAGAATTCCAAAGAGCAAGAGCTGCCCCAGGAATACGCGACACGCCCTTCCTCACGTGGGCCATGAGGGCACTTTAACACGGGACATGCTAATCCCAACAGCACGGAATTTTAAACATAAACTGTATTCAGAGTCAGAAAGAAAATGATCATGTGGACCATGATATTTCATTAATTACGGAAAAAACGCAGATCCCTTTCAATATTCTAGCCTATCTTCACTAACTGAATTGCATCATTTCTCCTTTACATTTAATAATTATATCTCTAATATGATACTTGCATATAAATAATTGGTATAAACAAAAAACAAAAATGTATAAAATCAGGAAAATAACACCAACGGAATTTCTTCCTAGAAGATAGCCTAACTAGCAAAATCTGACTTGAATAATTGTGTCTTTTTTTTGGAGAGGTTTTTGTTATAGGACTTGTGCACTCGCCAGACAGAGAGAGAGACAGAAAGCGAGAAATCACCCCCAGGGGGAATGGCCATGCCACAATCCCTTCTCCTCTATTCTCCTCTCGGGATCTTGGGCACGCACGCACATGCACCCGGCATGAGTTTAAGCCACCAGGTCCGGGATTCGAACTGCAGTCGACTACATGGGAGTCCAGCGACATAGCCATTACTCCAACTGCTGGTCCCATTGTGTCTTTTTAAAAATGATGTTTGAGAGACACAATAAGCATCCTTTATAAACACTGGCATTGAAATTTGCAAAGTGACATACGTTAGAATTTTTATCTCCTTAAAATAAGTTGTACCACACAGAGAAAAAGTGATATAATTATGTTCAAAATAGAAGATTACAATGGAAGAGTATGTCTATTTAACAACATTCAAAATGATCCAAGTTTTTTAGTTAATGAGCAACTTGATGTGAAATTAAGAACTAAATGATAAGATTGTATTGACACTATTCTTTGGATATGAAAACATTACATATATATTCAAATATTCATAACATAGAATTACATATGCATGCATACAGACATTTATATCTATCTATCTATATTAAGACCCTGGAGAAAGGGAGTGGAAAAAGGACCGAGCTGTGCACTAGAACCCTAACTGTATGATAATAATATTTTATAAATACGAAGTCGAGATATGACTTTTCCAAGGTAATTTTTTTCAGTGTCACATGAGGAAAAAAGAGATTGAAAAACAGAACTAAAAAAATAAATTCACACATGCATTTAGAAAATCACAAATCTATTTGAATATGAACATGTTATATACATTTATATTCATTCCTAATAAAATGCTATTATAATGAGTATTTCTTGCTAAAGAGAGAATACACGAAATATCTAATTTTAAAATATTTATAATTATGTTAAAAATACGTAAAATTCTGGGACCAGCAGTTGGCATAAGGGCTGTTACTGGACTCCCATGTAGTCGACTGTGGTTCTAGTCCCAGACCCAGTGGCTTAACTAACTCACACCGGGCGCGTGTGTGTGCGTGCTCAAGATCCCGAGAGGAGAATGGAGGAGAAGGGATTGCAGCGTGGCCATCCCCCCTGGGGGTGATTTCTCGCTTTCTCTCTCTCTTTTGCTCTCTGTCTTTCCAGTGAGCACACGCACCCTATGCACAAAAACCTCTCCAAAAAACAACAAAATGTAAAATTCTCAGAAATAATTGCACTTTCACCTTTTCCTTGTGTAAGATAATCTATTTGTAATTGTACTTTCTTTCACCTTTTCCTTGTGTAAGATAATCTATGCAATGTGCACAGTCAGAGTTTAAGGAGTAATAACAACTACTGCATGTTTCGTACTAATAATACCTTAAGTTTTCTATGATCTATCTCTAATTTTTAGAGCAACCTGAAAGTTGGTTATTTAAAAGTGTCTACTTCTAAAGCTGTGATTATCATGGAACAAAAATGTACTGACATCCAAAGTTGTAAGTTGTGGCGCTCATAAGTGGTAGAATAAAGATTCTAACATGCCTTTCCACTCCAAGTGCATGACTCCCCCCACCCCCAACCCCAACCCCGAGGGTTTGTGCACTCATAGGAGAGAGTGAGATAGAGAGAGAAAGCCACCTCCGGGGGGACAATCAAGTTGAACGCTCTTCTCCTCCATCTCTCCCTCCTTTGGGGAGTTTGGGTGTATATGCCCCTGTGCTTGGTGTTTCTCAAACTGCCAGGTCCGGGACTTGAACCACTTAACCGCCAGGCTGCCAGCTGGTTCAGCACATGCATCAACACTTAACGGTACATTCTCATCATGGAGAGAACAGAAGCTGAGATAGTATCTGAGTAAGGTAGGTAAGCTGTGGCTCCATGACTCCGAGGTGACCGCTGCAGGGGCAAACACCGTGTCCTTGTTCAGCGGGAAAAGGAGGAAAGAAGCATGGAGAGGGGAAGGGGCCTGGAGGGGGGAGCTGCTGCCAACCACGGCTGTTCTTTTCCTTCTTTTAATCAGAAAAGCAAGAGCTTGAAAAATGTCCCCTTGCGTTTCCTTACCTAAAACTTCTCATGTGACGGTGTCCAGCTACAGGAGCTGTTAAAATGCTGGAATGTGGTCTTCTCAGCCTCCATAATT